AGACATCAGTTAGTAGTTACATACAACCAATTATGGACCATAACATTAGACATCAGTTAGTAGTTACATACAACCAATTATGGACCATAACATTAGACATCAGTTAGTAGTTACATACAACCAATTATGGACCATAACATTAGACATCAGTTAGTAGTTACATACAACCAATTATGGACTATGAGATTAGACTTCAGTTAGTACTTTATATTTTCTGTATTTGAATTATGACTTATGTCTTTTTTTTCAACTGCTTTAAACGATATGTATGTATGTATGTGTTTGTTGTATAAAAGTATGTTTTCTTTAGTTTCAAATAGTCAGATAAGTGTAACTAGTAACTGGTTTACCACTTTTTACAAGTAAAGCACTCGGTGAGTGGAGGTGTAGCTCACCAATGATTGTTATATTTGAGATGCTGAGAATATTAGGTATTGTTGTAAACCAATTTTCAGAAATCAGTAAAATTCCTATTTAGTATAAAATCCGAGAAAAATGGGGGGGGGGGGTATCGTTGAAAAACACAAGTGTTGTGTAATAAGATGCTCATGATTAATCCACCAACTCATAGAAAAAGATGCCTCAGACATCAGATATTCGCCATGGACGAAGCCCAATACCCAAATGCCTATCATTTCTTTAGTTTCGGAAGAAAAGATATAAAAAAAAAACATTATGACGTAGATAGCATCTCATCAGCTCACGCATGCTATAATCAGTGTCATAAGGGACTTGTCGCGGGATTCATCGATAATGGCTAGTAAGCTTCAGTTTTGCTTGACATTAGTCCTGGTAATGGACTATACTTACTACAAAGCTTGGCGATGCAGAAACCATTATAGAAGGCAATCTAGATGTATTGACTTTCATTTTGTAAAATAAATTATGCTAGTCTGTTACGAGAAAATTTTATAATAGAAAATCCGTTTCGCTTGATTTGAAACTGTGATTCAAGAAATACCGAATTTTTAAACGCCCGCTATAATAAAGCCTTGTGTTAGATCTGTAATTTAAGAAGCCCTACTGCACATGAATTGCATTTAAATATTGTTTTTTTATCTTATTTCAAACTTAAATGTTTCGTTTTAATTACTGCAATAATCAATCAGATCTCGTTTGAAATGTTTTTTCTTTATACAGCTACAGTTTTTCTTTAAGTTTTTACAACCATACAGTGTTGGTAATTTCCGATATTCTTGGCAATTCTGGTTGTTTTAAAGCTGCATTAAAAACAGTACCAACTTTGTCATCAACAATATTTACTTCAAGAAGATATCAGATAAGTCTATCGGTGTTTTTACAAGTCACGATTTCGTTTTAAATTTATTTAATAAAATATTGCAGTGAATTTTATTTATGTGGGATTTTTCAGTAAAATTCATATTTACGGTGCTTCACGTTTGTCAGTATTACGCATCGGCAGAATTTATTTTCAGTAAAGTTCTGTTACTAGAATTAAATATAAATTTTATGAGTATCAGTATCTCGTGAGCACGTGTAATGGTGCAAAAATAATTATTTTGTCTTTGTTTCTACATGGGCAATAAACATATAGAAATTATATATATTTTTGGTTTTATTAAACGGTATTAAATTGTGACCGAATGATACTAAAAGATATTCTCATTGTATTTAGGGCAAACACTTGTGTAGATAAGAGAAAAGTCAAATTTTGGGAACAAACTATATTTTATCAAAAGATTTACAGAATTTCTAGTTTAAACGTATTCTCTTTAGTCCTGCATTTTAGTGGCTCAGCGTTAGATCTGGGTACTTGCAACGCTAAAATTTAGATTTCGATTTTCGCCGTGGGCAAAGCACATCTGCACCCTAGTGGAGCTTTGTGCTTAACAACAAACAAACATATCTTCAGCCTGATGTTGTTAACAGAATGAGTGCCGTTTTTCGTGCACTAGGAATTTAAAACAGAAAATTACATTGAAAATAAGAATTGTTAAAAGCTAATTTGAAATTTTTAAACCACCGATGATAATTTAAAGTGGCCTGTCTCATGTACCCTCAGGAGAAGTCAGAAGATCTGGTATCACTTAAGTTGTATTGATTAATTACTTGTCAGCAGACAACGTCGAACTGAAGAGGACACAAACTGGTATTTTCGAGCAAATCTTTTTGGTATAATATTGTTTGTGTCAAAAATGTTTTCTTTTTTTATGAATATTACTTTTACTACTGGAGTTGATAATTTGTACATGATATTGTCAAAATTGGGACTTTTAAATTTCAATTATATTTATGTATCAGATATCTTAAACAAACTTCGAAAAATTACTTTAACATTTAACAAATAACCGTTAGCCTTTCAAATTGGACATCTGGTGCATTAATTTATTTGTAAGCATAAATAATCAGTGAAATTATAAAGACAGAGTTGGTTTTAATGCTTGGTACAAGTAAAGAAGACGTGCTTTATATTTGCACGTTCTTCTAAATGTTGTTTATGGATAATAATGGTATAATATGATGTAATTATATGCTCTTTCAGAATTAAGGTTTCATTTTAATAAGCTGTGTTGGTAAACTTATTTTTTCAACGAGGCCGAAGAGCGCCATCTGTGTATGCATTTATAAATTAAATAGTATATTTATTGCTTATGGTTTGGTACTCTTTTTTTTTTTTATTTGAGATATAGTTTAAAACCTACTATAAATATCTAAAGTAAACTTTCAGGAATTTGCCTATCCGTGTTGTTTATAGATGTTTATTTTACTCATAGGATGTGTATTGTGGCCAAGAAACCATATGTACAGTAGATGGCCTACATTTCAATAGTATGTACAGGGCCAGGGTGAAAGCTGTCAACAGTACAGGAGAGAGTCCTTTCAGTGACCCTGTCTCCTTACAGACTGCAGAAGGTATCATATTTGACTCCTGTCTTATTATCTTCACAGAGTTTCAAAGTTCAATTATATTACAAGAATAACAACATTATTTTGTTGTTTTCCATAAGTTGATATGACTACAATAATTACAAATTTGTGTTTATAATTCTTAAAAACAATTTTAAAGAAAAAATCAGTTTGCATGTTTTATTTAATTTCTTAATACTCCAAATTAATAGAAAGATTTGCTAGTAGAAAAGTTATATTCTTGCTAGAAAAGGTTTAAATAATTAAGCTCAACATTCCATCATTTCTACTTTTACCTGTTATTAATATACACAGCGTGGTCACAAGGAAATAGACACCACCTTTTCAGAAAAAAATGAAGTTTTTCAGTCATATTCACATGAATTGATATATTTATAATTTAATTAATATCTAGTAGATCTTCCTTTCGCTTTGTGGAGTTTGTTGATCCTTTGGGG